TTCATTTTGTGGAACTTTCAGTAGCGAAAGTTTTCTTTTCGTCACCTACAGAAGTTATTCGATTGAGCTAATTGCATCATGGTTGGCCAAGTTTCCTTCCTTTTGTTTTATTTTCCGCATGGTGGTACCGTTGACTGCCAAGTATGTATATAAATAAATAAAGCTCTGTCATTACTGCAGGTCCATCGTGTGAAATTTTCAACGTTCTTGTTACACTTGCTGTTGTCTTTCCTGAGTTCATTTAAATTTGTGTATTTAATCTGCCAAACGATGCTAGAACGTTCCTGCTGGCTATAAATTTTTCTCTATACCAGCTTTAAAATCGGAAGGATAAAATCATAAGCTCCTCGAGTGGAAATAGCTTATGAACTGACTAAGCAGTAGAACAAACATGCCTCTTTGTCGTCACGTTGCGATAAGCAGGCCTCTGTTTATCATATATATAATGTGATATAAAAACTCGCAAGAATACATTGTAATTCGTGTAAATATTGAGTCAGGATTGACCAGGTGACCATGACTCCATGCATATGAGTCATTTCATACAGGATCTTTAACCTCGCTTTAATTATTGACTATCTATAAAGTCGCAAAGAACGCGCGAAACTTGTTTGACGTGATCTTGCCTTCACGAACCCAATATCCATTTACTATGAATTTGTAATTCATCCATATTCTCATTATAAATAATTTATTGAGCCCCCTTAAGTATCTGAATTACATCCTTATAATTGGAAATAAATAATCGCATATCATTTCGCGATCAGCAGACGGACTTTAAATTCAGCCGATCCACAGAATTCCTGAAGAATTAAGAATTAATAGATAATTATTTTCATATATTGCTCTCAGAATTTACGAGTGAAAATGTAGTCACAACTTACGAACAGTTATGAGCTGGACAGGCCTTCTCTGCTCGTTTCTCTGCTCGTTTCTCTGCTCGTTTCTCTGTTCGTTTCTCTGCTCGTTTCACTGCTCGTTTCTCTGCTCGTTTCTCTGCTCGTTTCTCTGCTCGTTTCACTGCTCGTTTCTCTGCTCGTTTCTCTGCTCGTTTCTTTGCTCGTTTCTCTGCTCGTTTCTCTGCTCGTTTCTTTGCTCGTTTCTCTGCTCGTTTCTCTGCTCGTTTCTCTGCTCGTTTC